TGCATAATATATACAGAATGAGAGTATTCATTTTTAACCCAACAATTTGATTATTTCAAACGTTATTTTAGTGGATACCTGTATTTGAATAGACACCCATTTTTTTTTTAAACAGTGCGTATTACATCTACTGGTCTGTGCACTTGACAAAACTTAATAAAGAAAATGTGCTCTTGCTGGACTGTGATGCCCTCCGTGGCCAAATGGTCTAAACCCCACCAGATCAGATGTTGGTTTCTCTTACAAAAGGAGATGTGGGTTTTGAACTCTGACGGAGGGCACATTTTCTTTAAGTTTTCTCAAGTGAACAGACCGGTAGACATAATATACACTGTTTAAAGAAAATGTTGGGCACCTATTCAAATACAAGTATCCACTAAAAATAATGTTTAATATATATATATTAAACATTAATTTTAGTTCACCTTATTCAGAGACAGTCATTCACCTCTGTAATATTCTGCTACTAACAGGCAGGAATTTTTTTTTTCCTGATGTTAGCCATGCTGGCCAAAACTAGTTGAGGAACCTAATTTTAAAAAATAAAACAAAAATATTAATATACAACCCAGTGTGCCTGGAATTTTAATTTTTACCATTTTTTAATTGTTCAAGACACACACACAATGTGTGTGTGTGTGTGTGTGTGTGTGTGTGTGTGTGTGTGTGTGTGTGTGTGTGTGTATAAAAATTCAGCTATAAATAAATATAATATATACCTGTAAAAAGACAATACGAGTAAAGACAAAAGGGAAACTTTTCTTTACCAATGCATTTCGTTCTCTTATGGACTTTATCAAGCAAATGTAAGGATTTTATTTTGCAAAAAGTATTTGTAAACAGAAGTAAAAATAAAATTATGTTTGCAAATTTTTTTAAATTTAAGGATGTTTATACATATACTTCAGGCTAACTGTGAAAGTCAAGGTAAACTATGGAGGCTGCTATGTCATGTAATTTAATGCCAAATAAATGAAAGTAAGTAAATTTTGTTGAATTGTTTTTTTCTAATGCAATTATTATTTATTTATTATTTTAATTTGATAATTTATGCATTTATTTATTTTAAATAATAGAAGGCTTTCATTTAAGCATTAACTTTTAAGTTTTTAAAAAAGGAAAGGTGTATATCTTTTAGGAAAAGAGATATTTGAAAAAAAATCCAGGACGCAGGTTAAAATTTTGGCAAGATTCAATAGTGGCACTCTCAAGAACTTAGATATCAGAATAATACAGTACTGGCAGCAAAACCGCCTGCATGGAGATAGAAAATGAATTCAGTACATACACAAAAATAGAAAAGGGTGTAAGACAAGGGTGTGTCTTCTCACCAGATTTATTCATCCTTTACAATGAAGCAATCCTGAGAGAATTAGGATCCATTATTGGCAGCTGCAATCTTAACAACATTAGACAGATGAGGAGTGTTGATAGCACACATAGAAAGGAAGCTACAGAAAGTAGCAAAAGAAAATACAAAGAAAGGACTAAACATCAACTGTAAAAAGAGAGAATGTATAATTGTCAGCTAAAGAAATAGCCCAACATGTGAATTACAAATAGGAGATACCAAAATCAAACAAGTGCAAAGATTTAAATAAATAGGAAGATTTTTTTTTTTTAACAGAGGACAGAAAATGCAACACCAAAATCCAAAGGTGCATTGCATTAATGAAACACGCCTTCCAAAAGGTAAGCAAAGTATTAAGAAACAGGAAAATTTCATTAAAAACAAAGAAAAGAGTGCTGAACTGTTAAGCAATATTGGTACTCTTATATGGAAATGAATGCTAGACAATTTCATCACAGATGAAGACGTGACTTGAGGTAAATGTGGTTCTACAGAAGGATGTTGAGAATACCATGGACTGAACATGTGAGCAACAAGGAAGTTTTAAAGAAAATGTAAACAAAGAGACACTTGCATTGCAAAGAGTTAGTTGAAATTTCCAAGGCACAGAATGAGGTCAGTTGGTTTAGAAAATTTGACACTGACAAGACATTAAAGACAAAATGGAGAGAGGAAAGCAGCACATAACCCTACCTAACAAAGCTTTGTATAAATGGTTGGCAGAACAAGAATTAGGAGAGATAGAAAAAAAAAAAAACTTAACTAAGGGCTAAAAAGCACAGAAAGTTGTGGAGAGCCACGATCACCCTAAATGGACACAGTACATAAAAGAGGAAGAACACACTGAAAGATTCACAATGGAATAGTACCAGTATTCATTAGCAACTTTAGCTAGTTTTAAAATATTTTTGAAATGTATAAATTATGTATTTAATTCTTTTATATATATATATATTGCAGTAGGTGCTACAATACAATGACATTATAATGCGCCAATTGAAGCACAGTCTTTTCTACACTCACTGCAAGTAGAAATGTCATATAACATCTAGTTAATGACTTCTCTCTGCATGTGGTTTCTTTGATGATTTTTGAGGCTTGCCCTACTTAGACAGAAGCAACCACATTCATTAGACATTTGATCAAATGGTGTATAAACATTCTCAGAAAAATTAACATCAAGACCTTTACGAGCATCTCACTTGAACTTTTCATGCCCAACACAATTCTATTCAAATTCTATTACAATCATGCACTGCTTTCCTTCATGATAAATGATTGAGAATGAGTTTTGTCCAGTGATTTGCAAGATGTTGGCCTTCTCCAGTGTTTTCTTGATGCAATATTAATATCTCAATTTCAGTTTTTATATATATATATATATATATATATATATATAAAACATTTCTTTTAAACATCTTTCATTAAATATGGCAGACAAGGAAAATTTAATTAATTTTTTTTTATGCAGTTTTTCCGGCATTCTTGGGTTTTTTCTTTATCATGGGAGTAAGGAATATATATATATATATATATATATATATATATATATATATATATATATATATATATATATATATACACACACACACACACACATATATATATATGTGTTTGTGTATTTGGGCAGTGTAGTGAGCGAGATAATAGGGTACCCCAAAAATGACTTCCGCTATCATGTGTCTAAGGGGAGCATCATTTGTTGTGTCATCCCAGCCGGAAGTGACAGCAGTCACCCTACGTTTAATAAATGCAGTTGCAATGTGGATCCACCCACCCACGGGAAAATGTCCCACCAGCTTTCCACATAACGAAAACACGCTGCATCGGGTCATGTGTTTGGGAATGTCCGTTATAATGGGTGATGTCCATTCCAACACGGTGCCACACCTTGCTTACACTCACTTGTCCTTTTTGCCATTGCACAGGTGCTGGGTCGATGGACTGACACTCCTTGCATCCTCTGACCACTGCCCTGACAGCAGCTTTGGATACGGAGGGATAAATCTGCCTCACGAAATATAGGGTCCGTTTTACACCGGGATATCCGCTTTGGCAATGCACAGATTTTAGTAAATCTGAGTTATGGTTGCTTGCTGATGTTACACAGACATGTCCTACCGGCTCTACCTCTTTCTTAATAGCGTCAAGCCATTATGGAACACTGCTTCCTAGCAGCGATTCTTTTGATGCTCCGATGACATCGCTCGATTATGCCTGATGGGACATGCGTGCAGCGAAATCTGAGGTGTACTCCCCACGAATCCACAAAATCTTTGAATAGTCCACTGCGGAATGCAGTGTCGTTGTCAGTGAGGAGTTCCGTCGGAGGTCCACATTCAAAGAACAATGACCCCAAGTGGTCAATGACGCTTGCGGAATCCTGTCGACGCAGACGCCACCAAATAGTGAACCGGGTTGGGCCACAGTCAATCAGGGTTAAATAGCATAATCGAGGAAAATAACTCACCAGAAAAGCTCCAGAACCGAGTGTCAGAATATTCAGTGCCCGAACGCGTCAAGGAAGGAAAATTCAGGCATTTTTGGCTACGGCGTTTGTTGGAGAGTGAGTTATTTTCCTGACGCGTTACAAGTGATTTTTTCTTTGTGTTGTGAAAGTAACAAATTTGCTTCGAGAACGCTTACACTTCAGGCAGTAAATTTTCATTTACAAAAACTTGGTTAAAGACAAAGAAAAGATCTTTGTTAATGATTTTTTTTTGTATTTCAGACCATTTTCCAGGTTTCCAGTACTTATTTAAATATAAATGGTCCAATGTCCGAGTACTTTTGACTTTCATAATCCATAAGTAAATTAGTAAATATTATGTTATTGTATCTTCTTTGTGTTATCATGTTGTTTTTATATATATTTACGCACACACAAACACAAGTATGTTAAAAAGTTCCAGACATGAGCTACTTCCCAAAATCTGACCAGACATCAAATTATCCTGGGAATCCTTTCTTGGGCAAGCTGAAAACTTTCAAGTCCCTCACTGTGTTTTCTGTGTCTGTATGGATAGATAGTTTTAGTAGAAAAAAAACCAGAAATCATTACTACTATTATTTTTAATTTCATTTAATTAAAATGTCTTTCTGGAAAATTAAACTATCTTTATCACCTGGTATTTTTTTTTTTACACTTTACTCATTCCAGAATTTAGCTGCTAGGTACTCTTCAATGAAAGAAGCCGGTAGAATTAGAGGCCGCCAGCTCGTAGACTGTGTCATCACAATATGAAGTTAATGATCCTAATCATTATAAAGTAACTTAAGAGAAACTGACTTGAAATCTAAATGAAAATGTTATTTTGTTTTAAAAGTAAATTTGGTATTTTAAAAAAAAGGGTATTTATAAGGCTAGACAAATACAAAACAAAAGTTTAATGTTTGATAATTGTCATAATGCATAAAGACTAAATAAATTGGTCATAGAGTCAAGAAAAAAAAAAAGCTTTCAATAAACCATTGAAAATCAGACATTGCTATTGCCCTTCATTTACTATACACATCTTTCTAACCAGAGTCAGAAATAAATGCACTGAGCTTTTACTCTTCTAGGCCAGCATTTAATTTTTTTTTTTCTTTGAAATCTCAAGAACTGATACCAATGCCAATAATTAGAAAAGTGTGGATGGAACTTAACCTTCATCTTTGACAATTGTTTGACAGGCTTGCCATAATTCCAAAGGTCCGACAGCAACAGATTTTCCACGCTTCCTTTTCTTGTGCATAACTGAAAAAGACAGAAACAATTAACAGTTTTATTTTGTTAACTATCAAATAAAATCATAATAAAATTTTTCTTTGAATAATAAAAGACAATATTCATTTAGACATTGGTTTTCTGAACAAGAATTTCGATCCAGCATTTAAAAAGATTTTTTTTAAATCACCTGAAAATATACTTTTAATATTTTTCCTCTAGACATTTCCAAATATTTGCAATGAAGTAGAAATTAAACAGTTTAGGTAAATTACATATGACATATTTTATAGTGAGATAATTAAAACGATTATAAAAGGAAAAAAATATATGAAACCAATTAGATGATTTTATTTCAAGAGTCATTCAAACTAGTATCTTCATCTTATTTATTTTCAGCACCAATATTTTCAGCTTCTTCCCACTAGTGTCTGGAATGCTGAATTATTTTCAGCTTTTGTCAAAAGATCGTTTAGACAAACATTCTCATTTTTTTGTTTGTAGCACAATATTTCTGTCAAGTTTTGTTCAGCAGTCATGAGAAATATTAACTAGTAATTACTTCAACATCTATCTATATTTCTGAAAATAAGTATTGTAAGTCATTACACTATTTAGATTGTTCAGATTGTTTATTGCCATATTCACAACATTTCAGCCATTGTATGCTCCAGCATTCTTCAGGTGATATATGGTGGAATTTCAAACCAGACCCTTTATTTAGTTCAGGGGAGTAGATTGCTATAGTTCCACATGTCATGCCTTTTCTGGATATTTCAGACATGGCTCAGTGGATAAAAGCATTAGTTAAAGTAATCCAGTGGCTTGACCAAAAGAGTTGTGAGTTCAATCCCTGGCCACAGCAGAGGTGAACAAAAACTTGGAGAGTTGAGTTACTAAAGGGAATTAACTGAAATTGAGATATCCAGAAAAGGCATGGCATGTGGAACTAGAACAATCAAACCATGTGGTCTAAAAGGGTTCAGTTTGAAATTCCAACATATATATCACCTGAAGAAGACTGCAGAGTACAATATGACAATAAAGATGAGGACAACAGCCTGAATAGTGTAAAATAGTTACTAATTACATTTAACAAGAGACAGAGAAAGATAACTAACATTTAACTGGCAATAGAAATATAAAGAGATTTTTACTTTGGTTCTTGTTTTCTTATTAGATCATTTTTGTCCCATCATAATGGTAATATTACCTGTTTCTCTATAAGGAAACATTTGGCAATCATTAACCGAGCAATACAGCTTTTAGTTGAAACTTATAAAATCTTTCTCTTCAAACAATTTTTCAGGAAAATAGATTCTTCAGGTCCAGTAGGTGTTATCACTCTTTCCAGTATTGATGGGAGTTTCCATCCAAACCTTTTATTTGAAATGGTGTGGAATGTCAACATCTTCATTATATTGTTATTTTCTTTTTAAGTTACATGTGCTATCCATTTTTGTTGTTGCTGCTGTTGAAAGTCCTCAAGTGATATGGTTATTGTCATTTAGTACAGTTCCTTGTTTGTGATTCTGCAGTGCCAGTCCACAATGTTCAAAGAAGGATGATCTTTGCCAAGATCTCCAGGCTTCACTCACTCAAAGCCTTTTTAGCCATTGGTCTCAGCGGTGATATATTGCTGACAGTTTAGATATTTCTGAGCAGATTTGGTACCATGAATAACATCCATATATAACTTTCAATCTGAATAGGCTATTTAAGAACATAACTTAAGTTTTCAGGCTAATGTTTTGGTTTTTTTAGCAATTGGTGGTGTTGGGCAAAACTATCTCTGTCACAGCCTATTCTACATTCAATTTCCTTTTCTCCTCTACTAAATTTGTTATAACTGATCCATATATAGAGGTATTTGAAGTGTTTAGCATTTATCATTTCCACATCCTTTCATTCCAATTCCAGATCATAGTTTCTCTTTTGGAAAGGTTTATTTTGAGTCCCATTTCTTGGAACACCTAGGAGCAGATGTTGATTTTCTATTCAAGATCACTCTTATCCCAACTATGAATAACAATGTCATCAGCTATGTCACACATGCACCTCATCATCAGTATATTGGCTTCAGTTGGAAAAGTAGGATCATCGTTTTCTATTCGTAGATTTGTTTGGGATATGTACACAGTGTTATTAGTCAACACATACCAAAAATTATTAGCATTAAAAGACGATAACTTTGCTGAAAATATGTTTACAAAAAAAAAAAAAATTTAAAAAAATAACAACCTGCAAAGAATTTTCCTTACCTTTGCCAGGGTCATCTCGTTGCATGTCAATATCCGATTTGTCTTTTGGGTAAGATGTGAAGCAGACAATTTGAAGCATTGGAAATTTCTCCTGCAAATAATGTTTCCACGCAACAACCAGTGCTGGAGGTGCAAGATCGATCTTGTTTAAAATCAGAATCAAGGGTTTGCCTAAATCTTTTGTGACATGATCGTAAAGCGCCGGAGAAAAATGGACAGCCTGTAGTAGAATGGAAAAAGTTAGATGACACCATACAGAAGAAAAATCATTCTGAGAATATATGATAGTTAATCATTTTCTTGAGATATACCAGAAAATACTGGAAAGTTTTCAGCTTGACACACTTTAAACAGTCAGTGTTCTAATAATTGATTCAAAGACTTTTGAACCTCCCCAATCCCACATAACAAAACCTTCAATCAACAAAGGTAAATTGTTTCACAATGTGTTGCATATACAAGAGGCATAAAATCAGTTTTAATGTGAATAAAACTAATTCCATAATGAAACTCAGATATCCAAAGAAGAAGGATATAAAGTAAGATGTATGAACGATGCAAGGAAGCATTTATCTCACTTGAATCACATCAGGTAAATTATTTTAAAGGCGGGCAGAGAAAACAAAGGGATAGAACTATTTACTGATATGATGTTTTTTTTTGTAGTGAAAAGCTTGTAAAATTCTAGTTTCTTCTGGCTTGTAATCAATTCTTGCAATCCGTTTCCTTTAGTCAAGCACCTCCCCTGACTGCAACACTGTCTCCTGTTCATTACAGTAGTCACCATTCTTCTTGTCAACTCATTATGCACTTTTTTATATCTTCATTGACAGCCAAAATTTTCATATATGAAAAAAGACTCTCAGAAGAGACTATCTGACTCCAGGATCTATCCATTTTAAATGTGTGACCCGCTAATCAACCATTTTTCCATTTAGGACAGTTTATAAGCAAGACACATTTGAATCTATTTTCATCCTGGAGGTAAGCCATTTTACATTGATTATTGCAAAAACAAAATGCATGCAACCCTGTGCCTCTTTGCTCCCCCCCCCTGCAGTAGTTCACTACAATATTGTCCATTCACACAATGCAAGGCCCAATGAACACTGATAGTAAAGGGTTACTGAATGAGATTGTAGTAATGGAGGGGAAAGAAAGGAGCAAGAAGTGCACATTATGAGGATATGTAGGATAAATATCAGCTGACCCTGAACTTAAAGAGACTAAGATTGTAGTTGTCAGGGAAGCATCGTCTCGGGAGTCTGTTCAACACAGTAACAATTCTGGGGAGAAGCTGTCTGTGTAGAACTTGCTTTTTATCAAAGGAACATGAAGGGAATGGGGAGGATTTGCCACCATGGACATGGCAGGGCAGGGTCCCTAACTGTGAAGTTCTGAGGTGGTGGAATGAAGGGATGGAACTCGGACAAATATGTGCGATAGTAATATCAAGAGAGGCTAGCAGCATCTCATTAGCAGAGGGTAAGGGTTGCACAGTATCAGTATTTAGATTTAATTTATTCAAAATAAGTCAGTAATACAAGATTGTGAGAAACAAAAGTTTTAATATAACTTCTAAGGAAGAAAAATCTAGAGGTCTCTTTAATCAAGAAATTGATTGAAATTTCTGTATTTTTGTTTCACTGTGTTGTGTTAGAGAATTTTTCTCTCCTGAATCTATCTTGCATACCTATAAGTCTTCCATTCGCCCATGCTTAGAATATTGCTGTCACTTATGATCCAGTGCTCCTGCTATATATTTAGAGACCCTTAATAAAATCCGAGGAAGAATCAACAATATTATTGGTCTTCATCTTGTGTCTCAGTCACTTTCCCACTTCTGTTAAATTGCCTCCCTGTGCCTTTTCTTTAAATACTTTCATGGTAATTGTTCAGATAAGCACTTTGCTATGGTAACTAGACGCTATGAATTTAAGTGCAGTACTAAAATGGTGACAAGGTCTCACCAATTTACAGTTGTGTTGGCTAGATGTAACTACAAGTTCTATACTAATACTTTCTTTTCTCACACTTCTTACTTGTGGAACTCTCTTCTGAAACCATGCTTTCCAGTCAACTTCAATCTTCAAAAATTTAATTGCAATGTCAATTCCTATCTGATTACCCTTCTATTGTTTTTGTTCCTCAGTAATATTTCTGTTTTCTAACTCTTCCACACCCAGTAACCCCTTGTATTTTAGTGGCTTTACTGCCTTGCTTCGGGTGAACTCAATTAAAAAAAAAATTGGTTTCCCAAATAGAAATAATATTAAACTCCAGTGGAGGAACATTTTACACCTTTTTGAATTCACATTTTCCCCCTTACATGATGTTGAGTGATTATAATGAATCAATTGCTTGGTCTACTGCTATGAAAATTGGTTTACTGTGTCATGCAAGACAATTCTTCACATCAAAATTCCTCTTGCACATTTATAAACCTACCATTCATCCAACTATTGAACACTGTTGCCATATCTGGTCTGGTGCTCCTTCAATATATCTCAAGATTCTTGACAAAATTCTAAGAAGGATCTGTGATGTAACCGATCCTAACCTGGCATCTCAACTTCCGTCATTTTTTCACTGATGTGACCTGGCTTCCCTCTGTCTTTTCTACAAATATTTTCATGGCACTTGTTCTGATGAACTGTTTTCCTTAGGCCATCAACAACATGAATTTAAGTGTGCTACTAGATTGACAAAAAGGTCTCTTTGTTTTACTGCTGAACTAACTAGAGATGCAACCATCAGTTCTATTATAGTAGTTACTTTTCTCGAACCTCTAGCCTGTTGAACACACTTCTAATTTCTTGCTTCCCTACCAATTACAATCTTCATAAATTTAAATGCAATGTCAATCACCATCTTTAGTCTTCTTGAATCTTGCTTCTTTATTGTCCTTTATCTCAATTCTCCTCACTAAAATCTTCTCATTCTCTTTCACCCCACTGTAAATCCCTGTCTTAGTGGCATTATTGCCTTGCTTGAAGTGAAATGATAAAAAATAAATTGTGTAAGTTGATGGTGTTAGTACAGGTAGTTAATATTTTCAGAGTTTATAGGATGTTACTATACTATGTAATCGATATTATGCTATACTATATATATATATATATATATATATAAAAAATTATATTATGCTTTACTTTGTATTAAGCATTGTTTTTTAAAATAAAAATAAATACTAAAGAACTCTAGATTATAAATCTGACTGTTCTTTCCTATTATTTGAATATTATATATATATATATATATATATATATATATATATATATATATATATATAAAAACTATACATCTAATATACAAAAATCTATGCCATGACAGTATTTTTTATTTTTTTTCTAGAAATACATGAAATCTCCAAAAATGTCTACAATTTGAATAAATATTTTAAAAACTTATATAGTGTGATTTCATATTTTATCAGTCCAGAGGTAGTTGTTTTTCTCGCATACCAAAAGTTACTCTACCCTCACTGCTTCGGCAGTTATATAGTCTATGCCTTAGGTATGATTATTATTCTGTCATTTACATCCTCTTTATGTACCAAGTCCCCTCAGGACATAGACAAACATGAACATGGCTTTTTCACAATTTCCTGTTCTTTTTAGCTCTTAATAAACTTTGTCTTTCTGTTATTTCTCCTAAGCCCTGTCCCACCATCCATTTACTCAAGCAAACTAAGTATGTTATGCGTTGTTTTCCTCTGTCCATCTTGGTCTCTGTCATGTGAGTATCAGATTTTCCAATCCCTCCTTCCTCATTAGGCACCCCATAAACCTCAACTGTCTCTTCCTGATGTTAAGTATTAGTTTGCTTTTTATTTCCATTTTCTCCAAAATTTCATCATTACTCACATGTTCGGTCTACGGTATCCTCAGCATCCTTCTGTAGAACCATATTTTTGTTACTTCAAGTCTCCTCTTCATCTTTGAGGAGATCGTCTTCACTCACTGCCATACAGGAAGACAGATATCACATAGGAGTTTAGTACTCATTTCCTTGTTTCTAGTGAAATTTTCCTATTTCTTAATACTCTGCTTAGCATCTGAAAGGCATCTTTGGCTATGCCAATACACCTTTGGATTTCAGTATTGCTCTTTCCCTCATTTGTTAAAACACTTCCCAGATATTGAAATTGTTGTACTTGTTTGATTTTGGTATCTCCAATTTGTAATTTCGGCTCACCTTTTTGCTAACAACCATGGAATTTCTTCTTGCAATTATTTACATAATAATCTATAATAATATCACACCAAAATCAATTATACTCCGATTATTGTCTATACCATTTCATTCATTGTCATTTTGATAAAAGGTTGGATTGTTTAACAGATGCAAAAGCATAAAGAAATTCTTTATTATGAATCGTTACAACTTAGGTAAACACTTCTTCAGTTCAGCAACTTGAAAAAGTAGTATTTCTAGGTCTGCTAGCTTGAGTGTTTATTTTAAGATCTTAAGTTATTTTATCTTAGAATTTGATCAAACAGACATTGCAAAACCAATCACTGACATCTGGCATCACATTTATGATCACAAGACATTTCCTCAATAAAAAACAAAAAGAGGAAGATGTTTGTAAATTTTTAAGATTTTTGACCTTTACCATAATGTCAAGGTTAGTCTTAGGAATTGCAGCTTTCAAGTGGAAATATTTTTTACAGGTCTACAGGTTCATAGCCAAGGTATTAGTTGAAATTGTTATAGTTTATTGATATTGCATTTAAATTTTTGAAGATTGTAGTTATCAGGGAAGCAAGAAATCAGAAAGGAGTTTCATGATTAAGAAGTGTGAGAAAAGAAACTGTTAGAGTAGAAGTGGTGGTGGATGAATCTAAATAGTTCAACAGTAAAATGGTGAGATTTAATTGCCAACCTAGTAGCATGTTGTCAAGGCATCAGAGAAAAAAATCTCATCAGAACAGTTGTGATGAAAATATTTGTAAAAAAGACAGAGGGAAGCCAGGTCATGTAAGTGAGAAAGTGAAAGAAGTTGAGATGCCAGGTAAGAATCGATTACATCACAGACCCCTCTTTGAATTTTGTCATGTCTCTATATTTACATATTTTTTAAATTTTTGAAAAAAATAAATTTTTATGATCTATAATCACTTAGTGTATTGTTTAATTCAAGAAAATAAATTCAGCATATCAACCATACAAACAAACATGGCTGATTTTTTAATGAATTCAGAATAAAGTTAAAAT